CCTGCCCCCCACCCCCATCTATAAAAATGTACATGGTTTATGATTAAACTTGTTTTATTTATTAGCTATGTCCTGGTCCTTTTTTACTTTCTCCAAGAATGGTGAGGAAGGTGCTATTTTTTGTTGTGCAGGTACAGCTAGGAAAGTGAGTTGTGGGCTGAGAGCCCTGATGAGATCTCCACTAAGTTCTGGGGGAGCCTTGAACATCCTTCACACAGCAGGGGCTACGTATTTGTCTGTTTGGAATGGAACTTTGTCTACACCTACATATTCCTATCAGAGTATCAACTTATATGTACAGCTATCCTCACAAGCAGAAGCAGACCATTACTCTTCCCCATGCTAACTCCAACATGAGATGATAACCACTCTCTCCTTCGTGTACACAGCTGGTGTGCTCATCCCTGGTACAATGTAATGTAGCCTTCTCACCGTTGCTTTCAGCAGTCGCTCCACCTCACCATCTGTACCTCTCAACTATATGAGCCTTGGTCCCCCTGGGCACATGCCTACCTCCCTGCAGACCCTCCCCCGCAGTGATCAAGCTCTGGAACTCAAGTGCCACAGGGACATGGTGAGGTTGGAAACAAAGCAAGAGGAGAATTTGCCCTGGCCATTAGCTGGATTAATGGGCACCAGGAAGCTGCAGCAGAACTCCTTGCACTGTAGCCTTTGTGCTTCTTCACTGAGCCCATGTCCACTCTCCCTTGCCTGCTGGTTAAAACTGAATTTTTAAAGAGTGCCCACAATCATCAAGTCTCTGCCCCTGTCTTACAACACTGACCTTCCAGTTATTTTCCCTGCTGTCTTTACCTCTCCACAAAGACACCAGCTCTCCTCATCCTTCCATGTCCTCCCATTCTGGCCTTTTCCACCATGGATATGTAGCCATAGGGCATGTAAAAACAACGTTGCAGTGATAGCAAGGGCAAAAGAGCAGGGGAAGCTTATGACCAAGGAGCACATGCTCACAGAGATATGTTGGATCCTAAGGCAAGGCCAATGAGCTCCAACTACAAAGTCCAGCTTGGCCTTGCAATGCTCAGTTAGAACTGTCTGGCTGAGAGTGATGATGAAACATCATTACAGTCATCCAGAAATAAAAATGGAAACAAGTAGGTAATCGTATTAAAGTAAGGCTAGTGTTTTATTTGCGTTACTGAAGTTAATTGCTTTTGAAGTTAGACTATCATTCTCTTGAGGACTTTTTTTTTTTTTTTTTGCTTTTATTATATCATTACAGTCATTCTATTAATAGTCATATATTATTTGGGCTCTTGAAGTGCTTACAGCCCCTAAAACAGAATATGTGTCTCAGTTGGTTATTCACTGTTAGCAGCCATTATGTTCTGTGAAAAGGGCTGGGACTGGAAAACAGACAGCAAGGCTATCTGTGTGCTCAGGAGGCATAAGGTAAGGCAGGAAGAGGAAAAATGGGAATTCTTTATTTCCTGCCAGCCACTAAACATGTCTAGCTGTAAGAGCAGAAAAGGGCTTCATAAGGAACTCTATTATGTGTGCAGAAAAAGCAAGACCATAGAAGTAGCAAAGAGCAGACCTACAGCCATGCTTCAGGGGCAATAGAAACAATTCTTTTTTCCCCCCTTGGGATTCAGGGGACCTGCACAAACCTTCCTGTGACCAAGGAAGTCATGAAAAAGCACTGGACTAAGAGCAAGTCTGGAGAAAAGGATCAGTCCAATAAGGATGCTGGAAGCAGGTATACCCTTACTGGGTCTCACTCAGCATAATTAAGTTGTTTTCTTCCAACAGCTACCTTGTCCTACATTGCAGTATATAAGACCTAGCACTAGTGATACAAATCCTTGCTGATGTTCTTTGCGTACTTACTTCCAGGACAACCATCAGGGACATATACCTGACTTAGGATCAGTCACAGCCCTGGAACACGACAGGGCTGAGATTTATTTTGTACTTGGTTCTACACAGCAAGAAAGTCCTTGTCCTGAAGAAATTATAAGTCAACACACTATAGGAGCTAGTATAAATAATGACAAAAATCTAATTATGACACAGGGTCGGTACAAATCAGGAAGGAAACAGTGGTCATGGTGAATTAAGTAAAAAATAAATTGAGGGTGGGAACGGCAGAGAAAAAGCCTGTTTTGACATCCAGATAACTAAATTAGGCTTCTGTTCTGAAGGATCCCCAGGGGCACTGCCCCCACCAGGCCAGTGTGATGCTAGAGAGGCTTTCATGGTGCAGCCTCACAAAGAGCATTGTCTCCTTGAGACCCGAGGGTGCAATAGGTCTGATTGTATGGAAGGCCAAAGGGCTTGTTATTATGACAAAGGCAAATAGGAAATGGTGGGATAATTTTTAAAAGGGCAGCAGAAAAGAGCTTCAGAAAGGGGCTCACAAAGGTAGGAGGTAGCGTGGGTGAGGAAAAGGTAGGCTAGAGTGTATACTATGAAACATACCTTTCACCCTTACCTCATCTTTATCTACACACAAGTCAAAGAGATTGTATTTAACTTTTTTGTCCTTCCTCAAATGATAACTGCCACTTACTGCTGTGTAGGGTCCAGCCTCCCCCTACCTCATCACACCTTTTGCTAAGTTACCCTCCTGTCATGCACCAGACTGTGGGATGCCTTTCTAGCCCTGTCCCAGAGCCTTGGTTAGGACAGAAGTTTACAGGCAGAGATATTTTTGAAGTAAGTGTTGATTATTTGACTTGATTTGAAATCACTACATTTAAGAGTTTTATTAGCATTATTGTTTCTGTAAAAATACGTGATGGTAGGCTCAGATTGAAGGGTCTCCCTGGAAAAATATATAAAACGTGATATAATGTACATTTTCCCCACTGGTTTCTATAGCAACAGTCTTTTCTCTGCACTAGGGAAAAAGGAGAGAATTTGCAGGGGGGGGTGAGTAGCAGTGTCTCTGCCCTAGATCTTTCAGCTTTGAGTCATCATGGGAAGCTCTCCTCCCTTCCATTTCTATTATGTGAAGAAACAAAGACCACCAGTCATACCCACATTGTGTACCACTCAGTATGCCTGGTAAGGCTGTGGGATGGATATGCTACCATGAATAAGAAAGTAATTTCCATGATGTGATCGTAAACTGGGGCATCACTCCTGGTACAGTACCTTACACAGGGAATACACATTGGAAACTGCTATAAGCCAAATTTCTCTCCTCATATTTGGTTAGAGCTAGCTTTGAGCCTTGCCCAGTTTCTCTCTTCCCTATCTCTTTACAGACTGCCATCTGGTACAGTCAGAGCTTGAGACTTCCCATTGAAACATTTCCTTTTGCTCTCATGACAACATCAGCCAAAGACCTTTCCTTGCCCCTACCATCACTGGCCATCTATAGCATATAAAATGACCCAGAGTCCCAGGCATCACATTCCTAGAAAGTTATTGACAATTTGGAAGGAGGCCAAGGACTAGAAAGAAAAAAAAACAACATTTTATAAGCCTAGAGGGATTGACTTGATTGAGCCTTAAGAAAAGTCTGAAGGGGATAATTCTGTACCATGTACACAAACAAAGTCTGAGA